CACCCAGGCCAGCTCTGGGGCAGAAGGCGGGAGGGAGGAGTTGAGGGCAGAGTGGGATCAGAGGGAGGGTCTCCTCAGCCACCAGTTGCTTTATGCTTGCACATAACCCTCTGCATCTCCATACCTCTCACACCCATCATTCTCCTCCATTTTCCCTGCTCTCCCCTGGCTCAGGCTGCATCAACCCCTCAATAGACCGTGGTAACATGGGCAAGCAAGGTCCACACCCCTGCCTCTTGCATGCTCCCCCCTCCCCCGCCACCAGCACACTGAGTCCACATCATTCCTTCTAAAGCACAGCTCCCTTCGAGCCACCTGTGACTCAGGGAACCGAGTCCACAGACTCTGCATGTCCTCATTGGCCAGACCATTCCCAGCACTGACCTGCCACTGCCTCTGAACAAGCACCTCTTCCCCGTCTTGGGGCACATCCCCTAACCTCCTGCCTTACCCTGGAGTGCCTTCCCTGTCTCCATCTGCCAAAACCTGCTCACTTCTTCGGCCCCTTCTCGTGTTCTTCATTGTCATGAAGCTGTTCTTGAAAATGTTACTGTGTCCCTGAGCACTTCCTGTCCTCTCCTAGGATACTCGATCTAGTTGATTGATGTTTGGTTCCATGTGTTCTTGTCTTCCCCCTAGTCAACTGTAAACTCTTCGAAGTCAGGTGAGCTCAGGGCTCCATGAGGCCACTTGGTGCCTTTTGAAGTAGAAACCAGCCCCCCTTCATCAGAGACCATGGCTTGAGAAGTGTAACACAGGTTGGATTTTTGGCCATGTTTACCCCTTGGACCAGGTGGCCTCAGGCAAGCCAATACTTCACATCCCCACACGGGGGCCTGGAAACACACTCTCACCCGTTAGATCTCTGGCCCTGCCTAGACAAAACCTTGAATTTTGCTGAGTTGAATCCCAACCTACATTTTTATGGATGTGAAAACCAAAGAAGAAGAAAAAAAAGCATGTTGTATTGGGGATGGGTGGGTGGACCTGTGGACACCTGACCTTTATTCTTTGACTGGTTCTTTAACAATAGTCCAAGAAGTGATGATGATACTGGGCCAACACAGGAGACTGGGTTTAATTCAGGGGTCAACTTTATGCTGAGGTGTGCTTTAGCCCGGTTAACAAATAGGCACATTTCGGTTTTTAGATGTGTATTCCACATGGGTTGGAAAGAAATAGTGTCGATCAGATGAGATAGAGACTCTAAGAGACAACCTGACTTGAGATAAAGTCAGGTGATCCTGAGCAAGTTACTTAATGGCTTAAGACTAAATTTTAGCATCTGTAAAATGGATTAATTCCCCACTCCAATGCATAGTGAATGTGAGGTGTCTACCATGGAGCTGGAGCAGTAGGGATGGTGATATGCTGGCTTTTTGTGCACTTTCTGGCTTAAATTTTGAGATATTCTAATGAACTTGATCTCCCTCCCCTTCTCCCTCTCCCTCGCCCCCCCCCCCCCCCACACACACACACGCTCACATGCAATTAAATGTTCTCTGAACCTTTGGCTGTGTTTTAAATATAATTTCATTTAAAGCCATGCTGTGTGCCAGTTTAAAGCCCCAAATTAGTTGGAATGTGATTCCAAGTATTAAGGGAAGAGATTTTTAAAAAGTTTTAGTTAAAGAAGAAACTGTCAGCAAGACAATGTAACTGATCCACAATCTTAGAGGGTCTTGTTAATGTCCAAGCGTGTCCCAGGGCTCTGTCTGGGTAGCATGCTCATTAACAAGCAATCTATACCCACCCATACGACTTTAGAGCTAGGCACTGTACCTTAATGAGGTAAAGAGGACCCCAGGCCATGGCTGTGGCTTAGGGAGGGTAGCACGGTTCCCTCCAGATATAAATGAAGTTCCTGGTGGTACTGAGACTTCCATGTATTTCAACTCGTCTCCCAAAGTGAACTTCAGTAGGCATTTCAGGCGCTTTTGTATCATGCTTCCTCATTGAGAGAGTACAGGCTTCAGACTCAAGACCTAGTGTAGACTTCCAGCTCAGGAGGGTGTTGGCTGGTGACTGGGTCTCTGAGAGCCTGTTTGTAAAGTGGGGATACGCTTATATCTGCAGGGTTGTTCTGAGCATTCAGTGGGGTCACTTTAGTGACCCTTGGAAGCACTTGGCCTGTAAAGTGTTCATGTGAGTTCCTTTCCATAGCACAGCTAGAGCTCAAGAAATAATAATCCATATTCGTGAATGAATTTCCTTCCTTTCCCAATGAAGTGTCCAAATCACCCTAATTAGCACTTAAAATCTCACGTGTTCCCAGCTTCCCTTCATGCTGTTTCTCAGATAAGAATTGCCTCCTTAGTTGATGCTCAGGGGAAGGGGAAATGAGACAGAAGAGAGTTGAGTTTAGAGAAGGGCTGAGTCTGAGGACCTGGGTCAGAAGGCCAGGTCAGATTCCCAAGATATGTTTTCCAGCCTCTAGGGCAGTGGTTCTCAACCTTGGCTGCACATTAGAATCACCTGGGAATCTTTTTAAAATCCTGATTTCTGGGCCTCATCCTCTGGAAATTGTTTCTTTGTTACTATGTGGCCCCACCTCATAACAAAGAAACAGAATTTCCGGAGGATGAGGCCCAGGAACCAGGATTTTAAAAAGATTCCCAGGTGATTCTAATGTGCAGCCAAGGTTGAGAACCACTGCTCTAGGGGGAGCTGCAGGCCACCTTCCTCATGGATAACTGGCTAGCAGGTGCCTCACTAGGGCATTCTTCTTGGGGTTTTGGTTCATCTCCTGGCTAGCGGAAGCCTCATCTAACTACTGGGCATCCGACACAGACCCTGCCTTGACCTCAGGCTTTTGTGTGCTCCATGTCTGTGGTCTTGCCTCTCTTGTTCCAGCATCTTTCCAGACCTGCCTCTCCAGCCTACTGCCACACACGTTCCTGTTGCTAATATGTACACAAACCTGTCTTCTGTTCGGTCAGCCTGTGAGGGTTTTCACACTCAGGTCCATCCCCACTGTGAGGATTCTGTGGAGAAGGCAGACAGCAAGGGAAAGCCAGAGGTGAGCATTTGCAGGGAAGAACTTTTCAAGTGCCTGCTCATACCCTGAAGACTGTCAGGGTCAGTGTTTGGCTCGGGGGGGTGGCAATGATTTGTAGATCAAGTCTGCTTTGACTCTTTGTGGAGTTTTCCAAATTCCTTCTGGGAGGCCCTGTTCTGTGGCTGGGGGGTCAGAGAGTCCACACCTGAGGCCTGCTTGTCTTTCCAAGCCTGTCTTCACCCGGAGCATTCCTGAGAGGTCCCGGCAGCCCCTGCTGGTGGCCTGGCCCGGCTCTGTGGGGAGGAATGCAGCTACACTCAGACATTCCAGTTGCTGCTCAAACCCAGTGGCACTTCGTTAAATCCTGGGCCACACCCTCCCCTTTGAGTGTTTGCTGGTATTGCTGTGGCAACCAAATACCCTCCCTTTATGGTCCCCTCTCCCTGCCTGCTCCGTCAGTTCCATCACCAACACCTCTATTGTGGGCCTCCTCAGATCCCTCTTGTGTTGCCAAGGGACAGAGAGCCTACAGAGTGAAGATCAAAACATCTTCCCCTGTTTGGTACCCAAGAGAGACTGTCTGGAAGGTCTAGAGAGGTCTGAAGCGTGTGAGACTGACCTTCTCGGTAAGGGTTACCATGGCACAGACACAACAGCTCCGTGGGTGTGGTAGGGTTCTCTCAGTGTGTAGACATCTCAGTGGCTGGGATGGTCTGTCTGAGGATATGACCAGACGACAGAGTGGGAGGAGGGGTGTACTTGGACTACTGTGACTCCTATGCCAGTCTGCATCCACACTCAGTGGAATCAGACAAGGGAGGTGCCCCTTCTCCACGAATGCCAGTAAACTCATGTCACAGGAGCCTTGAGTGCAAGACCTGGGCATGTAAAGATGGCTGTGTCTTCTTGGTCATTTTTGCTGCATGTAAGGCACCCCCTCCCATCATCACAAGACAAAACAAAACAACAGACAGAAAACTTGTTCAGTGAAATGTTGCTGTTCAGCTCATGTGCCATGTAGATCATAAACATTAATAACCATTTTATTTATGATGATGTCTAACTTTTAGGGTCAGGAATCTGTTGGTGTTGGCAGGGTGAGTCTGCTCTTTCATGAGACATTGATAGAGGTTGCTGGATGGTGTGCATCTGGCAGAGGGTCTGAGATGCTCCGTCCATGTGTCAGGTGCCTCAGGAGGAATGTCTGGAAGGCTGGGCCCAACGCGCTCACATGTGACCTTGGCCTAAAGTGCTCACACATGACCTCTCCAGCATGGTAGCCTGAGATTTCTTTCGTGATAACACAGGAATCCAAGAGTAAGAATTCCAGAGAAGGTGGATGTCCCAAGGCCTTTTATGACTCAGAGGTGGAAGTCACATAGTGTCATTTCTATCATAATCTGTGGTTAAAATAGTCACAAACCTGCCCAGATTCAGGAAGAGAGCCCACAGAACATGCTTTCAAATGGGAGATGTCAAAGAGTGTATAGCCATGTTTTAAAACTGCCAGTCTTCATCTTCTTTTAATAGTCGTTCCTGCTTGCAAAGACTAGAAGGCTCATCATTACTTTGCAAGGGGCCTACTAAGTGTGCAGACACTCACATCTGGTCGTGAAAGATAAAGGGAGTGGCGGTGAGATGACATCTATTTATAGTTACATTGTAGAGAGAAAAAAGAGCTTGAGTGTTTGGAGTTCTTTGTAATGAAGGCTTCCATGTCGACTTTCCCCATAAAGTGCCCGCTCTGCGATGGAGAACAAGCTCATCTTACCCACCAGTGTGTCATGGGTGTAACAGCTTATTTGGAGAAGGTGGAGGAGAAAAAGTGAGAATCATCACTAGGTAGCAATAATTTGCTGTTAAAATCTTTTTTTTTTTCTAGTTCGGATGACAGGTGATAAGACCTATGTATTTGGAACCTAACATTTAAAACGAATGATTCCCCAGTTGGTCCAACCAGACACCAATTATTTAAAGACACAAGGTAACACCCACACAAATGGACACTTACTAACAGCTTTATTATTTAGTTCCATTTTTAGTAATCGTACAATAATTCTCTTTTAAACAATACTGCTATACCTGAAGTGGGTCAATCATATTCTTTCTTCCTTCTACAGTAGTAAAGTAGGGGGTTTTCACACACATTTTTTTAATAGAACATTTGAATATCAAGAAATGCGGTTAACTAAAAATAACAGACCAAATTCCGTAGGAAATGACTGCACACTCGGAAAGGTTTCAGCTCTCACGGTGTCCATTCATGGGGACACCAGGCTGGGTGAGTGTTGGTGGGCAGGACCAACTCCCTTAAGACTTGTTTGGCAGCTTGGAAACTAGAGGCTGAATACTGGCCCGGTACCATCACCCTCTCTAGGCAGGTGAGTTCCTCCGGACACATTTTGGGAATGTCATCAGGGTGTGATCGACGTGTCTCTCTAGGGCACAAACCCTCCATTCAAGTCCTTACTTTTAACGTGAAAGTAGATGGAACCCAGCTATTGGGGGGAGGGGAGGGATGTATGTGTATAAGTGTAGTGTGGGTGGGTGTATATGTGTGTGCACATGCCTGGTGCAGCGAGGGGGACACAAGGAGGAAGAGAATCCTGGGGAAGGAAGGGAGGAGAAGGATGGGTCCCAGACAGGAAGAGCAAAGATTAATAAACAAGCTGGGTGTCACTCCCTGCCCTTACCTTGCCCACCACTAGGGACAGCCTTGGAGCCTCCCGCTGCTGCGTGGACCTGGTTTTCTGCTCAAACTTGAATAAAGGACAGAACGCAGTGGCAGCTGCGAAGGTGGCCTTCCCTCGCCACCCCATTGGTTGGTGACCCACTGCCCAGGCATCTTCCTCCTGGTGAGAAACTTTCCCCTGAGGCGTCTTAGCTGAGCCCTGCGTTGGATGGCCGAGTTTCCTGCAGGCCTTTGCTCTGGGCCGGGGGTCTCTGAGGCAGGTACAGTCCATTGTGTGCGATGAACCTGTGGATCTTGAGGAGGGGGGGGTGGGTGAGAGCGACCTGAGGTCGCAGCCGTAGCCCAGTCTTCACTCCCAGCATGGGTGGGGACCCCGTGGTCCCAAAGGTGTTCTAGCTACAGAGTTAAGGGTGCATTGGGCTCCCCTGCCTGCCCATGGTGGGCGCATCTACACCTCAAGGAGTGGGAAAGGGGGAGGCTCTCTGGGCCAGAACCCCTGGATTTCACAGCTACTGCCCAGACAACACTGAGCACAACGCTGGCGGGGTAAGCGCCTTGTTCTGGAGCGTGCCAGCCTGAACTCACATTGCCATCCAGGCAGACCAGAGGCGGTATTTGGGACAAGGTGCGTACCCTCTCTTTGCCTCAGTTTCCTCATCACTGAAAAGGAGCTCAGAATAACACTGGGGGGAGGGGGCCTGTTGTGAGAATTTGGTGACATGTAAAGTACCGAGAGCAATGTCTGGCGCCTAGTACTCACTCAGTGAATGTGGTCTGTTATTACTGTTTAGAAGAGATCAGCACCGCTCTGTGGCTGGCCTTACACCTTCTCCATGACCTTTCATGTTTCTAAACGAGGACCCTGGTCAAGGGCAGGGTAGCTGAGTGTGTGGGGACAGCTGCGGCCGTCACTGGTCACCTGCAAAGTGCCTTCTGGAAGGCTAGGCCCCCACTGTTGCCCGTGCCAACACTCAGGTGCCCTCCTGGCAACCAGGTGGGGGAAGAAGATGCCTCTTTCCTATGTGTCCAGAGAAATGATTTGCAAAGCTACTAGCAACAACATAATGACTGTGGTACGGACGAGGTGGGGGGCAGAAGTTTTTTGTGATGGGTAATTACTTCAGTTCACTAAACACTGATGGTGGTACTGGCCCTTCCTGGATGAACCCCATGGGGGAAAAATCAACAAATCAATTGCAAAACAAGCCCCAACGAAATCCCCTAAACTTGAAATGGCGCTGCATGAGGCCGCTGGCTGGCAGGTTGTGTCCTGGTCATGCAGATGGAGAACATAGTGAAGAAATCCTGCAGGCAGCAAGGGTCGGTTTCTCCCTGGGTTAGATGTCACCTGTGGAGGTTTTAATGTTCCATTAAAAAATACTAAAAACCCACAAACCTACCCAGATGTCCTCCTCTCTCCTGCTTCTCTCTGGCTTCGTGGTGCTAGATGTCTTTGCTGTCTCCATAATCGTTGTAGGGGACGCTAAGGGTCTGCTCCTCACACGTCTTCCTGAGGTCCTGGCTCAGCGCTGACCAGTCAAGTCCATAGGGCTTGATCTCGCTGTAGCGGCAGCCCAGATACCGGAGGGAGCCACGCCGCAAGCTTATCTTGGGTTCCTGCAGGAGTCCGTTGCACCAGCTGCTGAGGTCCCCAAGCTGGGAAAGGATGAGGCCAGCTTTCCTAGGGGACAAGCATGGAGATTAGAAAGAGTGGAAGACAGGAAGGCAAGCAGTGTGATGCTGTACACTCCGAGGGACAGAGCCTGGCCTGGTTTGCTTACTGCTCTGTCCTTGGCACTTAGAACAGGGGCTCTCCATAGATATTTGTCAAGCAAATGAATGAAATACCAGTAATAGCATGGCTGGGGCAAAGTGGGGCAGACAGGGACACAAAATGCAGAGGAAACTGCTAATATATTTGGTGGGAATGTCTGCCCTTTTAAAATCATAGAGCTGTCAGTTTTGAAAGACATCAAATCAGTTTTCTTTAGTCAGTAATTTATCATTAGATGGCAAATAAGGTATTTGTCTGAATAGTTCTCTTTTCAATGCTATTTCTGCACTGAGTAGAAGCAGCTGAAACAGTGATCTTGTGGGGATAGCAAATGGAATTAGCTATGTGGTATGGAGGTGATTGATTGTGGTACGGACGAGGTCAATAAGGCCTTCGCGCACGCTGGCACAGGGTCATTCTTGTGGAATGTGCGGACTTTCAGGGGCACACATCACCTAATTAACCTGCAGGGAGTTCATGCTCCCTTCTGCCATCTCCCTCAGAGAGGAAGGAGGTCATTGCCATTGAGCCTCAATCAAGGTGGGCAGAGGAGGTGATAGAGGCACCTGAGCTGTTTGCAGATCCCTGGAAGAGAAAGGAGCAGGCCTTCCCACACTGGAAAGGAGTGATGCCTCTGGGCCAAGGACAGAGTATGATCGCCTGTGCATGTAGCTTGGGGAAATGGCCCTCCCACCCGCTATCTCACTGGTGTGTATCAGAGATGGGAGCTACCTGATAGCTTGCTGGCGTTGACTCTAAACACTCAGGATGTGTGAAGGAGCAGGAATCCTTCACTCACTGTGTTCTCCAGAGACTGAGTGACCAGAGACCATGAGAAAGGGTCCATTTGAACAAGCTGGACAATGCTGTTCTGGGAAGCTCAACGCAAACTCTTGTAGTCCTTATCAACCACTAGGCTAACGTCTCAGGTGATAAATCATCCCTTCCCATTTAGTCAACAATTCCTTCCAGAAAACGAAGCTTCCGCACGCCATTTAGAACGAGCTTTCAAAGAACAGTAATTGCATTCATTTCATTCCTGGCCATGAGCATCACGAGGGGTGAGCTCACCACATTCCTAGGAGGGCACACTGAGAGAGGGGCGGAGAGGACACAGGAGGAAAGATTTTGAGCCCCAGCAGCACAGTCAAGGATCTAAGACAGTGAGAGGTCACTGGAAGGGCAGTCACATTTGCTCCAACTTCAATGGTGGGTCAGAGGAAATCTGACCCCCCACCTGCTGACAAAATACCATCTTATGTAGATGGGCTTTCTCTGCAGTTTGGCCAAGCAAGCTTTCCAAAAATAATCAATAGGGACTTCGGCGGCCCATCCTCTTAATCTATCTTGCTGCATGTCCTGAGTTGGAGGAAAGGGGAGGGAAGGAAGAGGGAGGAGCAGCATCTCTATTATCTTTAAGAAATAAACATGCCATAGCCATCCTTTGCAACAAATGGGTTTACTTACCCCCTGAATCTTTGCAGCTACTTTCACTGCTCACTTTAAAAAAAAAATAGTAATTAATGTGGGTCTGCCCTTGACTATCTCAGAGCCTGTGGTCTTCTTTCTTACTAGCAATGCAATCAGTGTTGTTACTAAAGTATTTCAACCCTTGGCTCCACCTGAAATCTTCCATGAATTGGATTGAAGTAAAGGAATTCTTTCTGCTTGCTCACAGGAAGTAGGTATCCAACAGACCCCTTTTTAATCATTCCCACAAATGACTCCAAAGTGGATTGATGTACCTCAAGGCAAGAAAAACAAAACTTTTTCTTTCCTGTGGTTCTCCCTGAGATCCATGACACCAAAGAGTTAAAACTTTATTTTCCACAAGCCAATGAAACTACACATTATTTTCAAATCTTACTGAGCCTTGAAAAACTACTTAAAGGGTCTCCTGGGAGGGAAGTTTTGGGAAAAGAGTGTATAGTCCGCAGTAGGTCTTACTGCACAGTGCGATCCGTGTTTCTTCCCCTGCTCACTTCATTAAACAGTTTTCCTTCTGACTCAAGTTACAAGAGAGAAACTGGCAATCCAAATGCCCTTGGAAATCAAGATGATAAAGGAAATGTTCGTGCTGTTCAAATTGTGACATTTATGTTCCCTAATCAGGAACTGTATATATATATATATATATCTCCAATAAGAAGACATCAAGCTACCTGACTTCAAATTATACTTCAGAGCTACGATAATCAAAATAGCATGGGATTAGCAGAGAAACAGACACACAGATCAATGGAAAAGAACAGCTATAAAACTGCATGTATATGGACAAGTAATTTTTGACAAAGGAGCCAGACACATACAATGGAGTACAGATAGTCTCTTCAATAAATGGTGCTGGGAAAACTGAAAAGTCATATTCAAACAAATGAAACTGGATTAAATTTGTCCCCATGTATAAAAATTAATTCAAAATGGATCAAAGACCTAAATAAAAGCCTAATTAAGTGTCTGGTCAGCCATTCAACCAATCAAAGTGTAATATGCTTAATGATATGCTAAGACCACTCACTATGACATGTACTGACCACCAGAGGGAAGATGTGCCGACCAGTAGGTTAGCTTACTGCTGGAGTCCATCTGATCAGGAATGAGCGAGACAGGCCAGACACACCCTGGAGCCCTCCTGCGGTTCCTCCCCGGCCCCAGTTGTGCACTGGTGGGGTCCCTCGGCCTGGCCTGCACCCTCTTCCAATCCAGGACCCCTCGGGGGATGTCGGAGAGCCGGTTTCAGCCTGATCCCACAGGCCAGGCTGAGGGACCCCACTGGTGCATGAATTTGTGCACTGGGCCTCTAGTAAGTTACATAGAAGAAAATGTAGGTACTAAACTTACGAACCTTGGTTATAGAGAAAATTTTATGAACTTGACCCCAAAGGCAAGGGAAGTAAAGGTAAAAATAAAAGAATATGACTATATAAAAATAAAAAGCTTCTGCACAGCAAAAGACACTGACAACAACACAAAGAGGCAGCCAACCAGATGGGAGATGATATTTGCAAACAATAGCTCTGACAAAGATTTAATTTCCAAAATATATAAAGAACTCAATATCAAACAAAAACCCAATCAAAAAGTGGCAGAAGACCTGAAAATACTTCTCCCAAGTAGACATATGAACAGCCAATAGATGTTCAACCTCACTAGCAACTGAGGAAGTGCAAATCAACACTACAATGGGATACCACCTCCCACCTGTTAGAGTGCCTACCATGAACAAGACGAGCAAAAACAAGTGTTGGAGAGGTTATGGAGAAAGGGTAATCCTCGTTCACTGCTAGTGGGAATGTAGACTGCTACAACCACTATGGAAAGCAGTCTGGGGATTCCTTAAAAAATTAAGAATAGAGGTACCATACGACCCAGCAATCCCTCTCCTGGGTATATATACAAAAAACTTGAAAACATGTACTCACAAAGATACAGGCATCCCTAAGTTCATTGCAGCAGCATTCCTGGTGGCCAAGACATGGAAACAACCAAAGTGTCCTGCTATAGAGGACTGTATAAAGATGATGTAGTACATATACACAATGGACTACTACTTAGCCATAAGAAAGGATGAAGGAAGGCCATTTGCAGCAACATGGATGGATCTTATGAATATTATGCTAAGTGAAATAAGGCAAAGCTAAAGAACATATGATTTCACTCATATGTCGGATATAAAACTGAAACCTGTTAACACAAATAGTAGTGTGGTGGTTACCAGAGGGAAGGGAGTAGTGGGGGCCCTAACATACGGGAGAAGATTTGACTTTGGGGGTGGGCACACAGTGCAATACACAGACCTTGTAACATAGAAATCTACACGAAATCTATATGATCCTATTAACTAATGTCACACCAATAACTTTAATTAAAAAATGGGGAAAAAGAGGCACTGAAGTTGACTGATTACCTGGGTCCCAATTCATCCTCACACCTCCAGGTGAACTCTCCAAAACTCTCGTAGTGCTGGTTGTAGTGGTAAAGGACTCGGTGAAGGGTGGGGGAGCCCAGGTCCAGGAGGGTGTTGTAGGCCGTCTGCTGTTCCTTCCCGCTGGTGTAGCCATTGAAGAGATTGTAGATCTTGTCTGCTATTTCTGAGAAGGGCGACAAGACAAATACTTTCTATACATACATATATAAGCGAGTATATACTCAGGCACACTTGCATGTGTATAGGCATATACACCTGCATACATGTGTGTGTGATATTGATGAATACTGAGCCCAGCACCTGGAGAAAGTGGATTGAGTCAATCACTTTACCTTTGCCCCATGAGGTTTCAGGTTTTTCTTCTATAAAATGAAAGCCTTTGAATAGAATACCTCCCAGATTAATTTTAGTTATAATATTCGTTGTCTTTACCCATGTTTCCTAAAAACAGAGAGCCTGAGGCAAAAGCTCATAGATTAATACTGTATAGGTAGTGTGACCCCAGGCAAGTGGGAGGGAGGATAAAGGTGTGTGGAAGGAAGGAGGCAGAGGCAACAGAGGGAGGGCACAGGAAGCTGCTGGATCCCTGCCAGTCCATCCATGGAGGGGATGGAAGAACACTATCTCAGCTCCACTCCAAGACTGATCGATAGGGCTTTTCACATTTGCTGATGTACACAAAATACGGAGAGAGTAAGTGCCAGATTCCATGCTGAGGGCAGAGGTCATGGGGACCCCAGCAGGTACCAAGCACCCGGTGAGTCTCCAGGTGTGCCCAGAGCCTGCACCAGTGTCCCTGGCTCCAGGATTCACTGTGGAATGATGGGGCACTACGAGGATTTCCGCCAGAGGCGACGGAGAGGATTCCTGGGAGAGAGAGGCCCCTATGCTGGGCCTTGGATTCTCCTCTTTCCCCCCTGAGCTCTAGGTTGTTCCCACAGACTCCCTCCTCCTGGTGGCAAGGGGCAGTCCCTGGGCATCCTTCATCACTTACCTTGGGCTTTGACATCATCCACCACAGGGCAGGGGGTCTTCACGATCACGTCACTGGGCCTGGAGCGTCGTCCTGTGTTGTCCACACCCCACAGGGTGAACCTGGCAGGGAGGGGAGGGTGTCGTTATCAGAGAATGGCCAAGCTCTGCCTGGATTGGAGGTGGGGGTGGGGTGAGTTGCCCCCAAATGCTCTGCGACTCCATGATGCACTTACTGCCACCACCCAGGTCACAAGATGTGTGGTCCCAAGCCTCTCACTGCTTCCTGGTGGGTCTTGGGTTGGGGTTTGCGGTCTTGGGTATATTATCTGATGGGAAGCATCATAGCATAGAGCACTGGTTATCAAAGTGGGGACCCCAGACCTGTAGCAGCAGCGTCATGCCCCAGCGTCTGGGTAGACCTACTGGATGGAGACTCCAGGGATGGGGCCCAGGCGATTCTCACTCCAGTTACTTTCTGACATCCACTGAGCTGAGGCAGGAGTCTGTCTATGGGGCGGTCAGAACCGGGGTCTGAGACCCCTGCTCCCCACCATGTGATGTTAGTTTAACTCCTCTGAGCTGGTTTTCCTCTTCTGTGAAGTGGGGATGATAATAAAACAGGGAGACCTCGTGTGGGACCTGGAGCCTAACAACCCTGCACAGCTCACTGATCCTGCTCTGTCCTGTCTTCTGCTCAGTTGACACTTGGGACACACAGGAATGAGGGCAGTTTTCCTCTTTAAAGTCGGAAGTGAAACCACCAGGATGGAGGGGCCCTGATGTACTGGTGGCTGGGCTCTACTTCCTGCACACAGCTCCTCTGACCACAGGGGTGCTGCCTCACGTCCCGAGTGGAAACGAGCCACAGAGGGCTGTGACAATGAGAAGGAGCCCCCAGCCCTCCGGAGAGCCCCCCAGGAGGGGGAGGAAGACCTGGCTATTGAAGTCTGAGTGGATAACCCCCTCCCCCACAGGTGACGAAGTGGAGGTTCTGGGACGCAGAGAGGAATGTGAATGTGACCTTCACAATAACTTCTGGTGTTGTTGCCCAGGACTTCTGTCCCCAACCCAATGAGAATAAAGTCATTAATGCTGCCTCTCTTGTCACTTTTTCTGTGTCCTCATGGGAGGCTGCAGTCTTGGCAATTCTGAATTTTCTTTCCTTTTGGCAGAGCTAGAGGGAGGGACAAGATGCCCAGGCCGAGTGCCCAGGTAAGGTCTGCTGGGCTGAGAAAGTGGTGAGATGATTGTCTCCGCAGAGAAAAGACAACCCTGCATCCATCCACCACTTCCTCCCTCAGAGGAGCCCAGAGAAAGCCAGTGTACCAGTGTGTGGGTCGCCTCCTCACCCTCCCCAAGTCCTCATTCGGGAACCACGGGCACCGCACACAGGCAGCCTCCATCTCACTGGGCATCCTGGTCGTGCAGGACACGTGGCCAAGACCACAGCGGTGGGCTCCGCAGGCCTGAGACCGGAACCAGGTGCTCAGCTCCCTGTCTCATCCAAATAGGTGGCTCCGTCCACTCCACAGCCTCTGCCATATGCCCGGGACAGAGTTCCTCTCACCCACCCCCAGCAGGCCCACTGCTCGGCAGCCTGGCGTTGTGTCCCATCTTGCTTTAAATTCCAGCTAAACTGAGAGAATACTGAGCTGGAATAAAAATGCCTGTGCTTAACTTAATTCCCAAATTACTCTAAAGGGGCAATTAGTATAAAATGTAGGGTCGTAGGCACTATTTTTAATAGCAAAGGAAGGCATTAGGGAAGGAAATGCTTCCCACGGCTGGTTTTCTTTAAACGGCTATTGAGGAAATATTGACAAATACACGAGCCTCAAACCTTCTGAGTAGAGGGGACGCTTGGCCTCAGAGCCAATCCTCAGGGGTCCCAGTGCCCTCCATCCTCACGTGCAGGCTGTGAACCGGCACAGCCTGGCTGTGGCTCCAGGGCTGGGGTCTGAAGGATCTGTTGCTCTCACAGGCTCCCTTCCAGGCTGGGGGGTGGGGGGAGATGATTTCTGCGGATCACTCCGGATCGGCTCCCTACTGAATTACCTGTCTGCTGTCACAGGCCCCAGAGGCAGTGGTTCTCCTGTGAGCACATGCTGTGGCGAAGGGCCTGGGCTAGCAGGCCACGGAGTCACCCCCCTCTGGCCCGTTTCCTTGTCTCTAAAATGAAGATGTTGGATCAGACATCCTTTAAGATACTTTCCAACCATGGATTCTTAACTGGGTTTGTGCTGTGGACCCTACTCAGAATAATGATTTTGAAGTGCATTAAATAAAATGCTTCAGATGACAAGGTCAGCCAGGTCTCTGAAATGCAGTTCTACCTCTGTGCACCCAGGTGAGGAGCCAGCTCTGTGCCTCAAGGTGAGGTGCTAAGATCGTGCTACTAGATCCTTCGGGGCATGAAATGCAGTGTATGAAGAGATAAGAATTCTGATTCCATTCTTCACCACTGGTCACACCCGAGACTACCAGCTGTGTGATTCTAGGGAAGTTACTCGGTGTTGCTGAGTCTGTTTCCTCAGCTATAAAATGAGAACAATCACCTTAATCTCACAGGGTCAGAAGGATTCCCAGAGGCTCCCTCACATGGCAAGCACTCCATGAATTTAGGCTGCCTTCCTCCATTTTATAGATGAGAAAGCTTTGTTGCAGAAACTTTATGAGTCTCACTTACACTCGGTGGTTAGAAGGTTAGAAACGATCCAGGCTTGGGGCTCATGTGTTCTCAACACTTTACCCAGGGCTCCTTTCCTTCTGCACTGGGGGCTGAAGCTCAGCCTCCCTCCACCCTAGTGCAGAGGAATGTCTCCCAGGCCAGGCCCTCGTCCTGTGATCTGCAGTGCCACCTTCCACTAGGTCCTAGTGCACACTGTCTATCTTTTCCTCAGCCCCATGCTTGGTCTTTAACTTCTTTAAGGTCACAGAAAGTTTGCTGTTTTACAAGCCAGGGGCAAACTGGAAGTTCACCAGGGATGTCAGAGTGGGAGGAGGCATCAGCCTCAGTTCTTTGAGCAGGAAACTTAGCGACATCAGGCCAACCTGAGAGGGTCCCGGGTGGGAGAGGGTTGGCATTCCCCACAGACAACAATGCCAGCCTCATGCGCATAGGAACTTTGAAATTCCTAATTAACAGTTGTGACCTAGGGACAGGGATTATGGAGCCCCTATTATAAATGGTAATTCCAGTTTCACTGAGTTTCAGGAATTTTACAGCAGCTACTTTGTTCCTTTTGTCTGTCCCTCTCATAAAGGGCCACAACTGCCCAATCATAAGTAGGCTGGCTGTCCTTCGTCCTAGGATTAGCATTTGTGTTTCTCTCTATTTCCCAACTCCTCCAGTAAAAACTCACATATGTTCCTTTCATCAGCATGGCCCCCTGGTTACATTTCCTTTTCTTATATTGGAAATATTCAGCCTGGGCATCCAAGTTCATCATGCAATCAATGCCACTCACATTTCTAGTGCTTTTCATCTTTGAACTCCCTGACTGCAGAAATGGAAATGATTTATTCTGGAAATCTCGACGCTATTCTCGTGCCCTCATCTGTAAACTGTTAAATGTTTTTCATCCTGATGGGGTCAGAAGGTCCCAGAACTATATCACAATGGTTTCTGCCTTAGCTCTCAAATTTTCCTACCAGGACTTGGATTGCATCATGATCTCTCTCCTCTCTCGGTGTCTTTTGTGTGTCTGCTTCACAAATAGCTTTCAGTTGTTCCCAGAGCACAGGGAGGAATGGGAGGAGCGCTCAGGGAAAACAGGGCTGTTGCAGGTGCCACAATAATGGAGTTCACTGTGTGTCCTTTGAAGAAAAATGTGGACCATCTCCAACCTCAGTAAACTATTTCAATGCCACTGGAGCTAGCTTTCTAAGGCAGAGTTCTTGGTATTCTGCTCCTTTCCTCCAAAAAATTAATAATCTCCTCTGATATACAGCATTTCACTCTATTTTCCCAGCTTTGCCCTCTTCTATCCCTATTACTCACCCTCTGCTTCCTCCACCCCATGGACGACTTCACTACTCACCTTCATGCCTCTTTGCCTTTCCCTAGCTGATCCTGCCACCTGGTATGCCCTTTCCAACATGACCCTACCTACTGAAATGCTACCCAATCCAATTCAGACGTCCCTGCAAGTCACAATCCACCACTTTCCTTTCTCTTCAACACATCCCTTGCTCTTCCATCCAGCATTTTTTCCATTCTGCCTGATGTCAAGGTTAGTTGTTTCTCTATTCCCTCTCTATGTTGTGAACTCTTTGCAGGATGGGACTATATTATCTTTCTTGATCCTCCCCCTACTGTGCCTAGAAGGTTCTGTGTAATGCTGATCAGGACAAGAGTTGAGAGACTCAAAACATTTTTCCAAGTCTCCAAAGGAACCCAAGTAGCAAAAAGGAACCAGCCAGGAGCCTCGGGATGTGTGGGGGAAGGCACAGCAGGGCAGTAGGTGTCACTCACATGTAGATGGTGTCGGGTTCCAGGCATCGAATGATGAGGGAGATGGTGGTGAGCTGCTTGTCTGGCACCTGAGAGGGCATGGCACAAGGAGACTTTGCTCCGGAGATGATGTCATCCACAAAGCTCAGCACCGTTTCTGCCCGGGGGAAGGGGTGTAAAAGGCATGAGAAATCGAGGCCAAGCAATGAAGACACAGGATCAATTCAGTGACAACATTAAAATTGCTTGGACCCCAGGCTTCTTAAATTCCAGGTAGAAAAAGGACACCTAGAAGGAATAGTTTTTTATAACTATTTCACATTTAACTAACTGGTTTAGAGCCATTTGTCCAGAGTTAGCTCAGAAGCAATTAAGGCAAGACAGACATGCCACATTGCAAGTTTGTATGCAATGTCCTTGGTGAGAACAGCTGTTCTGGTCAGTGGTCATTGCCAGACCTTCGTGGTGCCTGTGCACATCAGGGAAAGGGCCTGGAAGAAGCAGTGGACAGCAATCTGTGCCTGAGGACACTGTCTCTAAGCCTCAGTGACAGTTTTGCCAGAAGATATTTACCCCGAGTTAGACTGCGGATGCTACCATCCCGTTGGTGACCACACTCATGTGAAAGTTTCAGGAATGATTTACCTTGACCTTTCCTATATGTGGACAGTGAAATAGTGAGGCATGAAGCATTTTTTCATGAGGTGATTCCACTACTCTAAGACTTTCTTCTTCTAGCTGGTCCTAGCAAAACCAGAGTTTGCTTTAGAACAAGACACGGGTAAGCGAATCTGTCCACATGTGCTTTTGCCTTATTAGTAAAGAAATCTTTTCTTCTGTAATCACGGCAGTGGTTAGCACAGAATTGTTTTCTAATTATGGGTGAGGATAACTAGTATGCTGTATCATTAGTTCTTTGTGAGTGTGCCTAGAGGCAACGAAATGGACACCTCTTCCATAAACAAAAAGTGAAACAAAATCAAAACAAGATTTTGTCAGATGCTCACCAGGCAAACACTCTTAAATGGACAAAATGGCTGCTGCTCAGGCCTCTCCGGAATTGCCCTGGGACCCTGGGACCCTGGGACCCTGGGACCCTGGGACCCTGGGACCCTGGTGCAGAGCCAGGAGGCAGGCGTTTTTCTCCCCTGCTTCCCACCCTGGGTCCAGGAAGTGATGGGAGATGCTCACCAGTCTCCACTTTGGAGTGGTCCATCCTGTCGGTGACCTTCTCTTGACGGATGAGGTAATCTACAATCTGTACCCCGATGGGAGGCTCTGAGTGTTCCCACTCCAGAACCACAAGGGTGCTGCTGGGCTCGTGCACTGTGGACAGCCGCAGCCTGAGGGCAGAGAAGAGGAAACATGACACAGGGACACAGCTGACACCTGCGGGCTCTTCTCAAGTATAAATTCTTCTTTCTGACCGTTTTCTTAACCAACCACTACAACGATCTCTTTGAGTGCCTGTCTCCTTCACTGGAGAGTCAAGTTTCGGAAGATCCTTGATATCTATATTTTATTCATCTAAGTGCCAGTTACACGTTAGGAATTCAACATATATTTGTAATCAAATAAGTAGGTGACTCAAAGATGAATGAGTGCCTGTATCTCAAACGGTCAGGGACAGGTCTTTTGAAGTAGCCCTTGATAGAGCTTGAAAATATAATTTCTGGATTTGCTCTTGAAAAAGTAAGAGAATGTGCCTGTAATGCTTAGACCCAGGCCCACTGAAGGTGGTGGCTGGGAGAGCCTGCATTATCAAGGCTGTGGTCAGCTCAGTTTCCGTAGCGCTGTCAGGATCTGCCCTGCTGCTGAGACCCAAGCTTCACCTCTTGCTGTGGGAATTAACATATTTTCTTCCCCAGGCCTCTGAGCGTGTGGGCCTTGGAACAGGCTCAGTTTGGAGGTAATGCTCATGAGGAGCTTTGCTGGGCAAGAGAAAGCTGGCCACCAGTCAAGTTGTCCTCAGGTTGATGTCCTCTGTCTGCAAACTCAGGTTCTCATTTCACTGTCTGTTCTTGGGTTTCTATAGGTATCCTGATTTTGATTCCATTCTTTTCTTGATTTTCCCAATTCATAGTCTCCTCATTCTGTGTAAATTGTCCATCTTGACCACTCTTTGCCTTTCCATCTCATACTTCTTTGTATGTTGCAGACACTCAGTAACCATTATTGACATTCACTGGTATGAATCTCCTAATGGTCCACGTGGTTTCAATTCCCTTTCTTGTTCTGCCTTCATGTGTGGGTCTCAGATTTCTCAATTGCTTCCAATTCCCTGTTTCTTCCTAGACCACTGGCTTCTGGGCTTTTTTCCCAGTTCTTGCTCACTCCAGCCTTGCTCCCTCACATGTTATCCCTGCCATTCACCCCCATCCTTGGTTCCCATATCTCATGACCCCCCATAATCCTGGTCCTCTAGCCTCTACTCGGCTCACAGATGCCCGTCACTGGTCTCAAGGATCAACTTGGCAAGGCACTGTGAGAGTATCACACCGAAGCAATGTTCATTTTCAATTCGGCAATGATTTACTAATTTAATTTACCCATTACCTATAAGAATGTACCTGGTGAGTGCTAAAGATGCAGAGGTGCACACACCAGCTCCAGCCCCTATTTTTATGGGGTGGTCAATAGACAAACATAGTTATGCATGTGATGATAACAATGTGTGATAAGAACTTTAAAAAGAAATCAAAGGAGGCTGTGGGAGCAACAGCAAGGAATTCAGCTAGTGGGAAAATAATGCAAAACACATGTTCTCTCGTGGCTTCCTATGAGAAGTGCATAGTTTGCATGTGACATTAAAGATGGAATAGACCCAAAACAGTGCCGATATTGACAAACTCATTAATTAGAGTCACATGCAGAATGTTATTTTGAAGAAAAAGCATTAGGAGGCTTAAGCAAGTAACTAAGCCTTTCTGAGAACTCAGATTCTGTGAAAACATGGAGTAAGGCTGGCCTCTACTGAGAAACAGGAGTGTGTGAGATTTACACAGACGTGTGGAAAGCTAAAGTGCTTGTCTATTTCCCACTACCAACAAAAATTCAAGAAACAGGTCTGCTACTGATTAGAATTAACAAGAGAAGTGAAGTCCCTAATAGATGTTGCTGAAAATTCAGCCCAATTTGATCTTTGTCTATGACATTTAGTAAATGCAGGTTTACGAATGAAACCAGCCCTAAGACCCTAATGGTTAGATCTTATGTCCCTGATAGCTGTTTGGTGGATTCAGTGTAATGTGTCAAAGGCAGAATTCTTAGTTGGTGAATCAGTCTGGAAGCACCAGCTTCTTCTAGTAGCTCCTTTTCTACCAAAAGGAAGGATTTCTACTAATAATTAGCTTGATTATATTTTGACTCTAAAAGTCCAAGTCACAGCAATAAGGAGCAAGAAGCCAATGGCTGGTACATTTAAAACTACATAAGGAAGGCCTGTGGACAAGAGAAGACATTGGCTTGTAATGACACTCTACTATTGTGCTGCCCTCTGATTCTTTTCCTGTTTAATCCTGGCCCTTTAATGCCCACCTGCACATCCATGTAACAGGCAGAGGGCAGTGTTCACCAAGACCAGCCTCGCACTTGCTGGTTCCTTCTGCCATCTTGCTCCTGCCGACTCAGCCCTGCAGGTACCGTAGGTCCTGATCCTCACTCCGCTTTCATTGCCTAACCAACCCATGGGTCATGCTCCTCCAGCTTGCCCTACCAGCACTCCATATTAGACAAGATAATTCTATGCTCCATTCCAATGGCAGATGCTATAGCAGAGACTAGAAGGGGGTCCTGGCTTGGGCCCTAGCCCGTCAGGATTCTCTGTTCAGCCAGTCTGTGAAGCCTTCCCGTGAGGGACAGGAGACTGGACATGTTCATTCTCAGCCACCTTTGCAGCACTCTGTACTCTATTCACCCCTCAAATGCAGAACCCCCCATGTTCATCCCTGACCTTCTGCTCTTCCCAGTTGATACTTATTCTGGAGCATTCTTTCTCAGAGCTGTGTTCCATCTTTCATTTCTTTGGGTTTGATTTGATCTTATCTCTAGTGGTTACTTTTTTATGCAGTTCCAAACTATCTTTCCCTCTGACCACTGGCCACCGCTATAGAACTTCCCCCCTGTAACTCCAAGGCAGGCCCCCACGGAACCAGCCTCTTCCTCACACTTGCTTCTTCTTTGATGCTTCTTTTCTCATTTGTGGCCTATTCATCTTCCCAGGCACCCAGGTCATAAGCCTAAGTCCATTCTCAACTCCTTCCTTCTCACACCCACAGTCAGCCCCAAGCCCCACTGGTTGCACCCAAAGTCATCTCTCAGTTGTATCCTCTCCACACTGTGATGGCTAATATCATGGCCTCTTAGCCATGGCTCTGCTCTACAACTTGGGAAATTCCAGTCTTTACGAACCCACTCCCTTACCTATTACAAGGAGAGGAGGGATAACAGCACCTAACTGCTCCACAGACCCACACCAGTGGCCTCATTATAGACCTGACTTCCACCCCTTACCTTCTGGCCATGCTGTCTGACTTTCTCTACCTTAGAGGAGAAATTCAAGTTTCACCTCTTTCATGAAGCCTTCACTTACATGTCTCCTATAACTATTATCAAACCATTCCTCCTATAATTACAGTTTGTGCACCTGCCTCCCCTAGAATATTAAAAGCTCCCTGAAGACAGGTGCAGCATCATGGTTTTCTCTGTTTCCCAGCATCTAGCCCATAGCTTTGCTAATAGTAGACCTTCTCTAATAAGTATTTGAGGAATAATGCTGAGGCATGCATGCGAGAGGGAGGCAAAGAAAGGGACTCATACACAGGCTGTGGCAGAGGTGCACACGTGGGGAGCCCATCAGCCCCAAACGCAGTGGAGTCGCAGCGACACCAGTCCTCAATGACATCTCCAGTCCCGGAGCACCACAGAGAGCTCATGGTGGCCTCCTGCAAGAGCTGCAAGAGAGGGCAAAGAGGGGATCCAGGGCTGAGTTACCATAATCAAGGGACATCAAAGTTCTGTTTGGTCCTAAGTAACTTCCAGTCAGTAGCACCTCTTCCCAGGAGATTGTTCTGGGAAGCCCAGACCTCCCAGGACCTCTAGGGCTCATCTTGCATTAGCATCACAATTGTCCCTGTGGTTGACACCTTGGGAGCAAGTCTTATTCCACCTGCCATCTCCTTTCTATTCCATCATTTCACATCTGGGTTCCAGCAACAATGACTTCTTTACCAGATAGTCAGGGGGACTTGCCTTTACCACTTCCCTCTGCCCAGAGGCACTTAGTTCTTTCTCAAATGCCTCTCTGTGCATCCTTATTTGCCCTCTTCATCCTGCCAGAAGACAAAGCAGGGTAGGGCTGGGCATTGGATTAGAGCCACTGTCACTCTGGGCTTTGGGTCTCCTTTGGGTCTTCTTTCATCCTCTCAAGCCCCTTGCCAGAATTCTCTTCCTCCCACTACTCTTCCCATGGTCACTTCTATCAAATGGAAGAGGAATTTGTAAACCGAAGGAACAATTTATCTTTTTGTTCCTGTGACAAACCTTATTTTCAAACACTCAATGAAGTATCTGTGGCAGAGGCAGACACTAGTAAGAGAGAGATACACACACATAAAATCCCTCCTGTTGGCTTAGACACCACCTATGAAACTGTGACACACCAGGTGTCCCTCAAAAGAGGACAGAGAAAGCAATTATCACCCCATCTGGATGGGCATACCTCTCAGGCAGGTAAGAGGCTCACTGCTGAGATGCTACTAGGGCTTGTCCCCAAGGTCACCTTTGCCTATAGTCTCAGAAGTCCCCACCCTAAGCTTTCAGGTTTTTATTTTTGTCTGTGTTGTTGCTGTTTTTGTGTCTGTTCTGACCCACTCTGTCCTTTATGACCTTGAGGAGGAGAGAGAGAGGAAATGAGCTAAGTCACTGCCTCGGTCACATTTTCCCACTCATCCCTTTGGGTCCCTGCTTTTTCCCTGAGCATCTTTGGAAAGGGAGAGGCAGAGGAGATGGAGGGGTGGCTGGGAGATGTCATGACCTGCACCATAATATAAAGCAGGAACTTCTGCATGGACATGGCATTTTGAGTCAGAGTGATGGGTGAGAAACCACCCTCTTCAGGCTCAGGTATCCAATGTGCTCCTGCTACTCTCACTGCAGCAGCCAATAGGAGCCAGAACTGAACTCCTCCAACGACTGTCCCCCGAGGCTTTCTGAACAATTAATTACTTTGGTGACTGCAAACCGCTATGCCTCCCCATCTACCTTGTTCCTTCCAGCCCCTGTTGCTCAAAGCCCTACCGAATGTTCAGTTGTGACTCCTGAGTCATTACTATGGGAGTTGTGAATGCACTGACTTGAACTAATATGCAAATATAAGAAAATAGGTGCTTATATTAGCTAAACAAAAAGTCTCCTATCCATAGTCTAGCATGGGCTCAGCTGCACCTGTCACTTCCTTGGGCCATCGGCAATGCCCTCTATTGTTGTTGCCTCCCTAAACCAAGAGTCTCAGGCCTCTTACCCGCTGGGTCTGGTTATTGGGCACCAGTTCATAGATGGGGGCTGCTCTGGTCACCTCCAGCAGAACCGGCTCGGCAGGGGTGTCAGGGCTGGATGTCACATGGCACAAGGGGCAGGACGAGGGGCACCGTCCCTTGCTCTGGCACTCCATACGGACTCCAGCTGCCATGCGCTTGGTGCCGGACTCCGACAGGCTGGTGATATATTCTGGGAACGTTAGCACCTTGGGGTCTCTTTCCCGCTCCTCTGACTCGTCAGATGGGGAGTTGCCTGCCAGACAGAAGGAAAAGGAACAGTGAGGGAGGGAGGAGCAAGGACTGCATGACCTCATGGCCCTGAGCACCGGAGTCAAATCCCCGAGAGGTCTAGTAATGTCATAGAGGGGTAAGATGTGATTCTGTCATTTGGCTCAATCTGGGGAACCCCTCCTCCCAGATGCCCCCACTGGGAGAGCAGGCTGTTTCCTGGCTGAGCAGCACCAGCCTCACTGATCCTCTTGGGGATGCTTCTGCAGTTTGTGTGCAGGATTATGACTGCCATCGATAATGCAAGCAGGAACAGCAGTGACAGTTCTGCATCCAGAGAATGAAGGCCTGAACAGTACTCCCTCTAGCATTGCTAATGAATAAAGGCCAGAATGATTTTAAAGCACATGATGGTGGCTAAGTGCATGCGAATAATCATCATCATAGTTTTAACCATAACCATCAGTAACCTTACTGAGCCTGTATATACCAGGAATGTGATATCTGATCATAACCAGCTTTACACCAGCTCTTTGCATAGAATTCTAATATTAAACCCATTTTATAGGTAACTCAGGCCAACAGCCTTAAGCTCACAGCTACTGTATTGAGATCTGAAATTTGAATCCAATTTTGTCACAGGACATCTCAGCTTCATTATTAATGTAATGAAGATGTGGAAGGAAGTTTGACTTTTTCAAAAAGATTTTCACTCCAAAGCCTGAGAAATGGGTCTATACCACACTGATGATAAGTAAAAGGGAGTTGGGGGGCTCTTGGTTTATTTTTGGTGACATTAGAAATGCCTACCAAAAAATAATACTTTGTCCCCTGTGGAATAAAGCACTGCTTGGTATTTCTTTTCCAGGGCTTCATGATTTTCTACTGATTAATTCTATGGGAGGTGGAAGTAGAGTCTGCTGGCAAAAAGCCCTAGTTCCTTAAGAGTTCCCTGACCCTTTGTAGGCCCAAACATGAAACAGTTGCAGGGAGGTCACTGGGCTTTTGGAAACAATGGGTGGATAGACCATCCATTCTGTCCTCACACAACAAGAATGCAATGTTTGATGGGCCAGATCTTTGGGGGATCTGGTTGGAAGGCTTTGCAAAGTGGTTCCAGAAGGTGACTGCAAGATATGACTCATTGACTTGACAACAGACTTCTCTCTTGTGGGGTCCAGGCAGTGCTCCCCCCTCTCGCTTGCTGTGTAATGCGAGGCACCGCAGCACTGCTGTTTCAGATGAGCATCTCCACTATGCAGATGAGGCATTTCTACCCCGCAGCTCCATGGACGTGGGCTCCTCGTGCATGCGAAGGCAAAGGGCTCACTTAGCGACTATCGATGTAGGATATGATTTATTTCACATCTGCATCTGGTTTAATAAGGGATCTAGAGTGGAGCTCAAGCCCTTCTTGGATTTTCTAGAGAACTACATTCCTGCACACACCAAATCCAAGATGATGTTATTAAGTAGGAGACCCAGGAGCCCACACCAGCTAGCTCCAAAGTCACTCCAAGCAACATGTAAATCTTGATTGACATTCAGGCTTTTGCAACTCATGGCTGGGAGTGTCTGTAAAGTCCTCACCCAGCTCCTGGCAAGAGTAAGTGGGGGTGGGATAAGTTTTTGAATTCTTGATGTTATTTCTAGAAAAATAGGCCTTCATTCATTTGGGGAGTGAAATTTTAAAAACGAACAGTAAAGATAGAGTGCTTCTTTTCAAGATAAGAGTTTTAAAGTTTTGCCTTGTCAGTCTTACCAGAGAGTTGGAGTGTCTCCTGGTTGGCCCTCAGGCCCCTTAGAATCAGATGCACTGCAATTCAAGATCAGCCCACAGCCCTCCTGGTTCAGAAGGTCTTCAACACAGAAGCTGGGAAAAGGTTTCTACAAAGTGACCACTAGGTGGTGATAGCAAGTCTAAAATGACTTCTGTGAGAGGAAACAAATGGTGATACATTCTGTGACCACTTAGGCATCACAGAAAATAAACTTATGGAAAAGTAACACATGGCTACTCAAAAAAAAATTGTAGTGGCAAAATTTTTCTCTAACAATTAATACAACATTAATGAGTAAAACAATTCCATCCAACTTATCCTAAGGAGAAAATAACAGAGACACAAGATAATCAAGGGAAAACAAAACTACAGGAGAAAATAAAAATCCCCCTCAATATTATTCACGCGGAGTATAATTTGCTTTAGGGGAAGAATAAGATGCCATGAAATACCTTTTCTCTCACCTCTAATTCCCAAATACCCAGAAATGCCCCTCACCTCCTACATCCATATTCTTGTATAGAACCTGGGTCACTATTCAGGATGTTCAGGTCTGACACTAGAGGGCACGGTGACCGCAAGTGCAGCCACTAGAGGGCACTGCGACCTCACACAATCTGGAGCTGAGTGACAGCCTGCAGCCCTCCAGCAATCTATCATTAAGGCTTTAATTGCTGTGAACATTTGAGGGGCTGCTCCCTTTGCTGCTGTCTTCTGGCTTTCCAAATTAAAATTGAGATGCTAATCTGAAACCTATATAATTTTATTAAGCAATGTTATCCCAATAAATTCAATGAAATTTTTAAAAATCAAGATACAGCATTCCCTCTCCCCACCCACCTCCTTCAGTCCTGGACAGGTGCAAAGCTAGGGAGAAGAGAGGCAAGGGAAGGAGGGTGCAAAAGAATATGGTGGGAAGCCACCCAACTCTTGTTGTAATTCAGAATCAAGTTTGCCTTCTGAAAATACACCAGTCCAGAAGAGCGGGCCCCGGCCAAGACCAAGACTAATCATCCTGCCAGTCCCCCCATCAGGCAGGATGGCGCTGCCTAGAGAGGAGCTGGATTTACACAGAAGTGATGAGCAGTGAACTCCCGAAAGACTCCGGCAAAGAATAGAGATGTGGGTGTGAGAGATTTTTCAAGGAGGAAATGCATTTTCCATGCGCGGTTAAAGATACAATTGGGAAATACTCCTTAAAATGATGGAGTCCGGTGGAAAGCCAGATAAATCTCCCTTTGCCTGAAGAGAGCACTTACAGCCATCACATCTGTGGCAAGTGAAGCTCGTTCAAATCCTAAAAGCTTCAGCAGAGTCTGATCTTTGACACTTGCTTTACCTCCGCTCATGCTGGCATGGGTGTGAGAGGGGTCTGTGTATGGACAGTGGTAGGGAGGTGACTCCACCCCATTTCTTTATGGTTCTATTGTCCACTCCAATTACAGCCCTTGGGTGCTTCTGCCCCCATTCCACCTTCTCGATCCTGGGTAGAACTGCTCTAGTAATTTGATACTACAGTGTTTCTTAATAAAATGAATATTCTATTTCAATAAGTGCAGTCTCTGGACATAAGAAATAAGCTATAATTAAGGTCTTAAAAGATTACCATTAGCCTAGGTGCCTTCTGATGGAGGATACGGGGTGTGGTTGTGGCTTCCTTTCACCTGTTTGCAGAACCCACCCCACTGCTCACAGGGGAGGCGCTGGGGTCCAGCCAGGGGACTCAGGTTTCTCACGAGTGGAAGAAGAGCCAACCTGAAATGTAGTTCACAGCCCCCAAACTGCAAAGCATTCTGAAAATATAGTTTGCTATAAATAAATGCCATTTGCTTGAGGCTAAATCTGTACCCTCCGGCACACAGTGGATGAATTTCCCCCACAGAATATCGTGGTATGAGAATATTGGCCTTCCCGGTGTTCAAAATCTCACCGTGGCCGTGCCCAGGGCCTTGGGCAGGTACATATTGACCCACCTGGACTCAGGATGATAAAAGTAACTGAGCCATCCTCATGCTGGCCTGCTGTGCTGGTGGGAACTGACAGGCCATCAAGGTGAATGAGTAGTTATGAAGTAAATTGGTACAATTCCTGTAGGTTTCTGGGGCTGCTGTAAGAATCTCTCTCCCGAGTTGGTGCCCAAGGCAATGTGATGCTAATGACATCACAGCCAGAGCTACAGAGGCAGTTCATTAGGCAGCAAGGAATCAGATGCAAGCTAGTCAGAGCGCAGCTTCCGGAGATGGCGTGGATCCTCAGGAGAGAAAGTCTGACACAGAGCAAACAGCACACGGCCACAGCACACTGAGCCCTGAGCCCACCAACGCCCCCCACTGCAGGTGCTACCCCCATCCCCACCCCTGATGGTTCACACAGGTGTCCTGAGTCATTTGAAGTCATATTTCTGTCCAGGCGGAATCAGTCTCAGGGGAGATTCAGTGACGCTGGATGACTTAATCTGAACTTCCAGACCTGCCAAGGGACACACACTCTGAGCAAAATAGAGTATAATCCTCCTATATAATAAAAGCCTAATATGCTAAGTATTTGGTCGTCCAGTCGACCATACAACCAATTAAAACACAATATGCTAATGATATGCTAAGGCCGCTCAACCAGTTGCTATGATGTGCACTGACCACCAGGGGACAGACACTCCAACCGGTAGGTTAGCTTGCTGCTGCGGTCCAGCAGATCGGGACTGAGCAAAATGGGCTGGACATGCCCTGGAGCACTCCACGGTCCCTCCCTGGTTGGACAACCTCCGGCATCTCTCCCCAGCCCTGATTGTGTACCAGTGGGGTCCCTCAGCCTGGCCTGTGCCCTCTTGCAATCCAGGACCCCTCGGGGGATGTTGGAGAGCCAGTTTGGGTCTGATCCCACAGGCCAGGCTGAGGGACCCCAGCAGTGCATGAATTCATGCACCCGGCCTCTAGTGCAGCAGTTCTTAACCTGTGGATCGCGACCCCTTTGGGGGTCGAACGACCTTTTCACAGGGGTCGCCTTAGACCATTGGAAAACACATATATACTTACATATTGTTTATGTGACTAATCATTATGCTTTAATTATGTTCAATTTGTAACAATGAAAATGCATCCTGCATATCAGATATTTACATTACGATTCATAACAGTAGCAAAATTACAGTTATGAAGTAGCAACGAAAATAATTTTATGGTTGGGGGTCACCACAACATGAGGAACTGTATTAAAGGGTCGTGGCATTAGGAAGGTTGAGAACCAC